CGCCTCGACAAGGCAGAGGTAACTAGTGTGGTGCTACATATGCGAGATCTAGTTTTCTTACTGACATACACGTCTTGCAGCTACCTTTCACTGCAGGAGTTGCAGCGTCCAATGGAGAGCAGCTTTACAAACCGATCGTTATAAAAGACGCGCTTGTTCATTTCAGGTGCCACCGCAGACTCAACTTTGACTCGTTGCTTCCCGTGTTTATACCAGCAAAAGATCGAGTACTGCGTCAACATTCAAACTGAGGGTGTCATGGATACAACTGCTAACATGCAAACGTTTTTTTAATTGCAGGTTTTTGAGAATGTATTCCACTCAACCAAAGACGTTGATGACTTTATTGAGATGTTGCCGGTAAAGGAAATGTACGTTATGAATGTCGACCATTCCAAGGATCCATACAGCGGCTACGACAGACATCACTTTGTATGGATGGTACGCTGGCTGCAGCTGTGTATGGAGCTTTCAGAGGTACGAAAGACCAGTCTTAAATTCGTATATGTTATGATGGTACTAACACCTTTTCGTTACTACAACGTTTAGATAACTACCGAAATGATACGTGACCGACTGCAATATCTGAAAACATTTCTTGTCGAAAAAGCAGAGATGCTTGATGTCAAAATTGAAGTCGACATCCAGATGGCAGACGTTCGGAGCACCGAACAGAGAGCTCAAGCTTGGAATGAAGGTAAAATCTTGGAGAACGCATTCAGCAAAGTTAATAACTTATGGATTGCGATGAGCGAAATTGACATTCTCGCGGATCAGTTCGAATATATGGATATACGAGAGCCATGCACGTGCAGCAAGTGTGCCTACTATCGATCGCCATTGTGGGAGCAAGAGCAATCTGTCGGTTTGACATATGATGTGCTACCTCCAAGCGAACCCTACCATTGGCTAGAGAAATGGGATGAGAAAGAACGGTATTATTTGCATAAATACCTAAACTGAATGAGGCAAAGGCAACCTGTACGAGCTGTGGCTCGAATAATAATAAAAATAAACAATTTGGTTCATATACAGTGACATGAGGGCAGAGTATGATAGTCAAATTGTCGTATGATCGATCCAGAGCAGCACACAGGACAATAGTTTCAACACTCAAAACGATATTTACTATACCAGAGCGCGTGGTAACACAGCACCACACAGATCACCGCTCTACTCAGATTATTCCCACAACGCCGGTGCATTTCCACTTCGCCATACAGGGTACCTACTTGCTACTTGACTTCTGCAACTGAGGAATCAACGCTCAGCACTACGAATGTGAGGGCCTGCCTTCCAAAATCGGGTCGCACACTTGCCTCCTACAACGACTACCGACGTACGCCTCGGCGACCACATAGCGGTGCACGCATCGTGGAAGAGGCGATGATTTCGAACTGGGCGAAGAATACGAGTGTGGCGGCGATATCAGAGGAGCCGCCGCCACACTCGTATTCCTTGCCCAGTCCGGCCCCGAGATGGCGGTCATCGACAGGTTGATGATCGACACCAAGGGGGACGTCATGATGACGACAACGGCGCACCATGTGTGTTGCTGCGCCACCAGCAAACGCTTGTGTCTTGTAGCTGATGGTGCCTGCACCACGTGGCGATGTTTACTGTCCTTGGCGTCTTTTTATGCGTTCACGATACTCTGCATAACGCATTTTTTTTGGAATTTAAAACAGTGCCGAACGTGAATCCCGACCGATACAGACCGGTCGAAAAAATCATTGTACGAAGAAATAAGCAATAGGCAATTTCCAACCCAAACCGGACCTAAAAAGATAACGGGAGATGTCATTGTAAAACCGCGAGCCTAAGTACTACTCAAATTGGCAACGACAATGCCGGTGGTAGAGATCTAACTTACTACCCTTCCAGGACCAAAGTTTAGGATAACAGTTTTTTGGGGATGAGGGCCTGGAGCGCATAGCCACATAAACTACTGGGTTTAGATTTTGCCT